AGCCACAACTACTGAAGCCACAACAATGAGAAATCTGTACACTGCCATGAAGAGTAGCCCCTACTTGCCACAACTAGAGAAAGCCCACATGTAGCAACAAAGACCCAGTGCAGCCAAAATAAATGGAGTTAAAAAATAAAAAGTTAATTGGCAAGTAACTGGTTTTAAAAAACAGGTTTCTTATTACTCAAACACTTTTTTTAAATGTGAGAAGGGGGGGAGAGCAACAACAGAAGGATAATCTCCTTGGGTCAGGGGGACCACACGACCTCCACTCTCCTCTGTGAGCCAGGGTGTAGAGCTGGAAACCCTCTGGGTTCAAACTTCCAGTTTTCACTGGGGCTGATTCTTTGCAGCCCAAGTCCAAGGGCAAAGCAAGCCCATGAAGGTTGACTAAAGAGTTGTTCAAAAGCATGGGATCTATAGAACCTAAAACAGACCCAAATCAATAGAGCTTTCACTTGAAAATCTATAAATAGTTTCCTGAAACCAGCCCTTTGCCTAAGATCATGGGACACTGTCTCCTCTGTGACACTGCTGGCTCCTCCACCTCCAAGAGCCCAGGACAGACAGGGTTTAGGGTGTTTGCCCACAATGTACATGGTTGCTACCTTCTAAACATGCCAGTGTATATGGGGGTAGGATGCTCCATGGGTGTGCCTTTAGAGACCCTTAAATTTTAAAGAAATGACCATAATCTATAATTAACTCCAATAAGTATTCAGTGGCAAGTGAACAATGGCCTGAGTTTAGGCAGGACATAGGTAGACCCCTCTGAGGTTACAGCAAATGCCCAGCCTCTATCTAGGGAGAGGCCTTATCTCATCCCATTGGAGAACCTCCCTCTAATCCTTTGGTTCCACTACCTTTAGTCTTTAGTGCGGGACCATCCAAGATGGATGGGTTATGGTGGAGAGGTCTGACAGAATGTGGTCCACTGGAGAAGGGAATGGCAAACCATTTCAGTATTCTTGCCTTGAGAACCCCATGAATAGTATGAAAGGGCAAAAAGATAGGACATTGAAAGATGAACTCCCCAGGTCAGTAGGTGCCCAATATGCTACTGGAGATCATTGGAGAAGAAGATGAACTCCCCAGGTCAGTATATGCTACTGGAGATCATTGGAGAAATAAAGAATGAAGGGATGGAGCCAAAGCAAAAACAACACCTGGTTGTGGATGGGACTGGTGATAGAAGTATGATTCGATACTGTAAGGAGCAATATTGCATAGGAACCTGGAATGTTAGGTCCATGAACCAAGGCAAATTGGAAGTGGTCAAACGAGATGGCAAGAGTGAATGTGGAAATTCTAGGAATCAGTGAACTAAAATGGACTGGAATAGGTGAATTTAACTCAGATGACCATTATATCTACTACTGTGGGCGAGAATCCCTTAGAAGAAATGGAGTAGCCATCATAGTCAACAGAAGAGTCCAAAATGCAGTACTTTGATGCAATCTCAAAAATGACAGAATGATCTCTGTTCGTTTCCAAGGCAAACCATTCAGTATCACGGTAATCCAAGTCTATGCCCCAGCCAGTAATGATGAAGAAGCTGAAGTTGAACGATTCTATGAAGACCTACAAGACGTTTTAGAACTAACATCCCCAAAAGATGTCCTTTTCATTATAGGGGACTGGAATGCAAAAGTAGGAAGTCAGAAAACACCTGGAGTAACAGGCAAATTTGGCCTTGGAGTACAGAATGAAGCAGGGCAAAGGCTAATAGAGTTTTGCTAAGAGAACACATTGGTCATAGCAAACACCCTCTTCCAACAACACAAGAGAAGACTCTACACATGGACATCACCAGATAGCCAACACCAAAATCTGATTATATTCTTTGCAGCCAAAGATGGAGAAGCTCTATACAGTCAGCAAAAACAAGACCAGGAGCTGACTGTGGCTCAGATCATGAACTCCTTATTGCCAAATTCAGACTGAAATTGAAGAAAGTGGGGAAAACCACTAGACCATTCAGGTATGACCTAAATCAAATCCTTTATGATTATACAGTGGAAGTGAGAAATAGATTTAAGGGACTAGATCTGATAGACAGAGTGCCTGATGAACTATGGACGGAGATTCATGATATTATACAGGAGACAGACCTGTATAGGGATCAAGACCATCCCTAGGGAAAAGAAACACAAAAAAGCAAAATGGCTGTCTGAGGAGGCCTTACAAATAGCTGTGAAAAGAAGAGAAATGAAAAGCAAAGGAGAAAAGGAAAGATACCCATTTGAATGCAGAGTTCCAAAGAATAGCAAGGAGAGATAAGAAAGCCTTCTTCAGTGATGAATGCAAAGAAATAGAGGAAAACAATAGAATGGGAAAGACTAGAGATCTCTTAAAGAAAATTAGAGATGCCAAGGGAACATTTCATGCAAAGATGGGCTCCATAAAGGACAGAAATGGTATGGACCTGACAGAAGCAGAAGATGTTAAGAAGAGGTGGCAAGAATACACAGAAGAACTGTACAAAAAAGATCTTCATGACCCAGTTAATCACAGTGGTGTGATCACTCACCTAGAGCCAGACATCCTGGAATGTGAAGTCAAGTGGGCCTCAGGAAGCATCACTATAAACAAAGCTAGTGGAGGTGACAGAATTCCAGTTGAGCTATTTCAAATCCTAAAATATGATGTTGTGAAAGTGCTGAACTCAATATGCCAGCAAATTTGGAAAACTCAGTAGGGGCCACAGGATTGGAAAAGGTCAATTTTAATTCCATTCCCAAAGAAAGGCAAAGCCAAAGAATGCTCAAACTACTGCACAATTGTACTCATCTCACACGCTAGTAAACTAATGCCCCAAATTCTCCAAGCCAGGCTTCAGCAATACATGAACCATGAACTTCCAGATGTTCAAGCTGGTTTTAGAAAAGGCAGAGGAATCAGAGATCAAATTGCCAACATCCGTTGGATCTTCAAAAAAGCAAGAGAGTTCCAGAAAAACATCTATTTCTGCTTTATTGACTATGCCAAAGCCTTTGACTGTGTGGATCACAATAAACTGTGGAAAATTCTGAAAGAGGTGGGAATACCAGACCATCGGACCTGCCTCATAAAAAACCTGTATGCAGGTCAGGAAGCAACAGTTAGAACTGGACATGGAACAACAGACTGGCTCCAAATAGGAAAAGGAGTACGTCAAGGCTGTATATTGTCACCCTGCTTATTTAACTTATATGCAGAGTACATCATGAGAAACGCTGGGCTGGAAGAAACACAAGCTGGAATCAAGATTTCTGAGAGAAATATCAATAACCTCAGATATGCAGATGACACCACCCTTATGGCAGAAAGTGAAGAAGAACTAAAGAACCTCTTGATGAAAGTGAAAGAGGAGAGTACAAATGTTGGCTTAAAGCTCAACATTCAGAAAACTAAGATCATGGCATCTGGTCCCATCACTTCATGGCAAATAGATGAGGAAACACTGGAAACAGAGAGAGATTGTATTTTTGGGGGCACCAAAAATCACTGCAGAAGGTGACTGCAGCCATGAAATTAAAAGATGCTTGCTCCTTGCAAGGAAAGTTATGACTAACCTAGACAACATATTAAAAAGCAGAGACCTTACTTTGCCGACAACGGTCCATCTAGTCAAGGCTATGGTTTTTCCGGTAGTCATGTATGGATGTGAAAGTTGGACTGTAAAGAAAGCTGAGGGTTGAAGAATTGATACTTTTGAACTGTGGTGTTGAAGACTCTTGAGAGCCCCTTGGCCTGCAAGGAGATCCAACCAGTCCATCCTAAAGGGGATCAGTCCTGGGTGTTCATTGGAAGGTTGATGTTGAAGGTGAAACTCCAATACTATGGCCACCTGATGCGAAGAGCTGACTTATTGGAAAAACCCTGATGCTGGGAAAGTTTGAGGGCAGGAGGAGAAGGGGACGACAGAGGATGAGATGGTTGGATGGCATCTCCGACTCAATGGACATGAGTCTGGGTGGGCTCCGGGAGTTGGTGTTGGATAGGGAGGCCTGTGTGCTGCAGATTATGGGGTCGCAGAGTCAGACATGACTGAGCGACTGAACTGAACTGACCTTTAGTCTCAGGAGCATATTGGTCCAGTTGACTCTCTTGGGCTCAAACCATTCTCTTTTTCTTCCTCACATGTTTGAGCCCATCTAGGGAGCTAAATAGGGCTGAATTTCACAAGTACACTTCTTTAAGATGGGGCACAGATACTGCACAACTTGTTTATATCCACGTGACTTTCCCACAGGTTTTAACAGATCTATTTCTTGTCATCTGGGTATTCTCTCTTTGCAGGTCATGTCTGCTGGAAACTAGGAGGATTTTGAATACGTAGCCACTGAGAGCAAATTGTGCCAGGGCAGGTGGACTTACAATCTTGGCCCACCCAGGCACTTAAAAAAGACCCAGCCCACCACCAAATACATTATTAGGAGTATACAAATCCCATGGGCTCACAGAGAAGATCCTTAGTCCACTCATTAATTCTATTTCTCAATATCGACAGACTGGTTCTCCAGTCTTTTGGAATATACTTTTTCATTGCCCAGTGAATCATCTGGATGGGTTACTCTTGGCATTGACCATTGGGCTTGACATGTAAGCTTTTGTTCTGTCTACATGAACACAACCAAGATGTCAGCCATGGTTCAGTGGGACGTTTTAGCACGGTTCACTCCTCCCCCAACCCTTTTCATCCAGTGATGGAATCTGGCAACCCACCCACTGCCTCCTGCCTCCTGCAGTTACTGAAAGAATGGAAAGCATAACAGGGGGTTTCCCAAACCCCCTGAGGTTAAATGGCATGCATTTCCTGATAAGATGCTGAAAAAGTAGTCATGGGGAAAACAGAAGTGTGACCTCACTGCAAAGACATGTTACTGTATGATATTTCAGCGGTGAAACCCAAGCAAAGCCAGCCCAGGGTCTTAACAGACTGTGGGTCCTTGTGCCCCACACCCAGCACTGACCCCCAACCTCGCTCCCTGAGTAAGAACAAACAAACAACTCACTGTAAACTGGATTTGGCAGCCACCCATGATGTAGTCCAAGAAAGAATGCATCTTGTGAATCTGCATGGGGGGAGAGGAAGCTGTATTAGAACAGTGTGATCCAAGTACTTACACATTAGAGGCCTAAACATGGGGTTTGCTGACCTAGAGGGAAGAACAGAGAAAGGCCTGTGGGGAAAAGATGAGTCAGCTATTATCTTTCATGAGAGGAGAGAAAGAAAACAGATGGGCCTGTGAGGGCTGCAACCATCCATCCTCTTTCTCACTCTTCTTGGGTTTACATGATTTTTATCAGCCTCTGCCTCTGGGGTGTGACTGGTACTGTGTTTTCATGGGTCACCACTGGTTTGAAATACATGAAGTCTCATGCTTAGCTTCAGTCTTGCTGCCCGTGTCTAAGCCCCAGTTCTGGTAACGTTCCTAACACCACAGTGAAAAAGACAAATAGCTTCAAGGTCACAATTGTCCAAGAAGCTCTCCACTGTAAGCTGCCGGTGAGTGAGATTCTTCCCTTGCCATGAAGAACAATGATTAATATTTACTGAGCGCTAACTGTATGCCAAGCTCTTAACATACATGATCTCATTTAATTCTTAGAATGAGCCTGTGAAGGTGATGCTATGATTATTATTGTGTCCATTTTATCCACGAGGAAACTGAGGCTAAGATCACCTATCTAGATGGTGGAGGTGGGACTCAAATGTATCCTTTTAACCTCTGGGCTGGAAGCCCATAGTCTTCCTGCTTCTTGACCCACCCCTAGCTTCTGTGTTCTCACACACTTTACTGATTTCTAGTCTTCATTTCTGCTAAATTATGATTCTGCTGCTTGAGTCTTGGTGACATTCATCTACACAGTTATTTGACAAGGATTGATTCAGCCTCCACCATGCCCTGGATGCTAAGGATACAGGGAGAAGAGAAACAGGCATGGTACCTGCAGTTATAGAGCTCACGATCTGGATCGTTTTACTGGTACAACCATCAGCTGATTTTTGAACCTCACTTCTCCTATTCCATCTGAGGCTCAGGGCAGCTTCTCAAAGACTGAGCCGCAAAACCCCGTGGTGGCATTTCCAGGCACCACCTCCAGGTGGCACACACCTATCAGCAGACTTGTCTCAGGGCTGATGTTTCCTGGGCCCTCAGAATAGTGCCTGCTCCAGGCTTCCTTATGGGGATGCTTTGCCTGATAGTTGAAACGCTGTGCTGTACTTAGTCACTCAGTCGTGTCTGACTCTTTGCGACCCCATGGACTGTAGCCCGCGGGACTTCTCTGTCCATGGGGATTCTCCAGGCAAGAATACTGGAGTGGGTTGCCATGCCCTCCTCCAGGGGATCTTCCCAACCCAGGGATCAAACCCAGATCTCCCCCAGTGCAGGCAGATTCTTTACTGTCTGAGCCACCACGGATGCCCAAGAATACTGGAGTGGGTGGCCCTGCTACTATATCCCTACCAGTACCATGTCCTCTGAGTGCCAGACTCTTAGATCAAAACAGTTATATGCACAGTCACCTTACAGACATGACTCATCTGGATCGTCTTTTCTCCTGCTTCTATGGGCACAGGACTGTTCTGAATGCACCAGGATTTGGTCTGTATAGGTAGGTAGGTAATATGATTAGAGACAACTGCCTTTGAAAGAAGAGTTTATTATTCACAGCTCCCCAAAGGACTGAAGGCATATCCTGTCACACAAAGGGGCCACATGGGGTAGCACTGGGTTAGTCAGGAGGCAGGAGGCATGCAGGGGAAGCACAGACAAAAGTCATTATGGTGGTTTTTGTCGGGAGGAATGAGTGAGGCAAGGTAAGCAGTTAAGCAGGTTTAGGACTGAATAATGAGTGATTCTGGAGGCTCTGGGCAATAGGGATGGTCTCTAATTGTCTGAAACTGGCTCTGGGGTGACACAGGGCAGGGGGAATATTGGCTTGGTGTGTGAGAGCTCAGGAAAGGGGGTGGCTAGGGATACAGGCTCTGGATTGTTCTGTCTGCGTGTCAAAGATGGGCTCATAGACACGCTGATTGCTATCTCGAGGAATTAGCTAAACCTAAGAAGGGCAGTTCTTCTCAGTATGCAAGTCCCCAAATATCAAAGCATCATAAAATACAGGAAACATTATCAAAACAATGACCCCAGATGGCCAATCGTAAGCATTGTTATCGCCTAGTTCCAGTGATTAGTTCACAAGATAGGCCTCTGACTTAAGCTAGACCCATCAGTCTTTTCCCCAACTCTTCCGTTATGTGAGAATGGGCTCCTACAGCCCCTGGCAGCCAGGAATGCCAACTCTGAGAAAAGGAACCTGATATATTTAGAGAGAGACTGGATGGCATGGAAGTCTTACATCATGGAGTCAGACAGACAGAGATGAAAATCTCAGCTCTTGCCATGTGTGTGACAATGAACTAGTTACAATCACATCTGAAGGTAGAAATCTCAGAGTTGTGGGAAGAATAACAGAATGTATTGTAGTTATTTTTACCATAGTAAGTACTCAACCAATGGCAAAATTATTCTCAGAGGGGGTTTTCTGCAAAGTTAGAGCCCCTCTGGGAGAAATTTTTAGGTGTTTTACTCATCCCCTATGTCTTGTTTTCATGGTATCTCTTCAGCATGGAGGAGGTGCCACATACAAAGCATTGAGTGGTAAGTACGAGTGATTATCACTTTGTGTGATAAGCACAGAGTTAGGTGCTTTAGAATGTGTCTAAAAGTGACACTTTAGAAAGTGTCAGCAGGAAGGAAAGTGTCTTCCAGAGACAGAGGTGGCACGCAGAATATACATACGGAAGATAAATCTTTAAGTCTGAGTATGCCTGTGGTTACGGAAGAGGAAATGGAGAACGAAAGTTTTAGTGAAACAGAGTTCACAGCACCCAAGAGGAGAAGAAAACACAGAACAAAAAAGCCTGGTGTAGAGTACTTAATATTGAGCTCTCTGACAAGAAAAGATTTATATTGGTGTGTCTTGAACAGGACGACTGCCAGTATTAAAACTAGTTCTTCTGGGAAGCTGTAGATGTTTCTTTGAAATGGCAATACTTTAATGTAGTTATGGAATAAAAGTACAAAAAAATAAGAGTAAAAATTTACTCTAAAACTTAATATTAGTGTTTTCTTTTGTGAAATATGCATAAGTGAAGATAAAATTTGAATTTAGAATATAATAGAAATAATCCTGTTATTGGCAGATTATTGCAATTTTCCATAACTTTTTATGGTATTACATTGTCTTGGTACAGTTCTGGTAATATTAATTATTCTATTTAAAATCTTTTGTTGTTAAAAACTTAGTGCTTATTACATGTAAATGGGGGCTTCCATTTAGCAGCTGGTAAAGAATCTGCCTGCAATGCAGGAGACCCTGGTTTGATTCCTGGGTCAGGAAGATTCCCCTGAAGAAGGGATGGGCTACCCACTCCAGTATTCTTGGGCTTTCCTGATGGTCCAGCTGGTGAAGAATTCGCCTGCAATGCAGGAGACCTGGGTTCGATTCCTGGGTTGGAATGATCCTCTGAAGAAGGGGACAGCTACCCACTCCAGTATTCTGGTCTGGAGAATTCCATGGACTGTATAGTCCATGGGGTTGCAAAGAGTTGGACTCAACTGAACGACTTTCACTCACTCACTCAGGTGCTTTAGAAATGTTGGTTGCCCCCATCTGGGGACCTCCCTCTGGTGCTGTCCTGGGCAGAGGAGAATCTGACTTGTGACCAGGACTCTGTTATTTTTGGGCAGGACTGTCTTTGTTGAGGTGATGGAGGCATTGGCCTATCAGAGCTCCAAAGCCACCCAAACTTATAATGTATGTCCACTAATACCTTGACTTTCTGATTTTTTTATTTTAAAAAGGTCACATCTTCTTGACACTCTCTCTTCCTGTGCAGACCACCTGGGCCTTCCTCCCAGACAGCCTTAGCTTCAAACTCCTGGAAGACAGGGGCTATGTTTATACCTTGCACTGATTCAAAATCACAATGCCCGAGTTCTTATAATTCTTCTTCTTGGCTTTGTACTTGGGGTTGATACACTCCCACTGCACCTGCAATAAGAAAGGTTATTCTATGATTGCCAGCTCAGGAAGAAGTAAAGTCATTAATGAGGAGGCCCCTGGGTGCTGTTGCAGGCGGTCCTGAGGGCTGACACCTGCTCTCTAGCTGATCCCCTTGCATCTGGAGGGGAAGAAAGTAGAAGTGGTGAGAGGAAGACTCTGATAACGTCTGCCTGGTTTGAAACCCAGCTCCTCACTTTCCAGCTGTGTGACCTTTGACAAATGACTCGCTTCCCTCATGCCTTGCATATTGCCTCTGCAAAATGGAGCCCATAATTATAGCTATCTCATAGGGTTACTGTGAGGATTGAATGAGTAGCCCCTATAATACATTTAGAACAGTGCCTGACACTTATAAATGCTTGCTATGAATGGGGTCAAATCAAAAAGCAGAGGGAAGGAGAGATCTTGGGACACATAGCTGAGTAACCCAAATGCTGAGTCTTAGTGTCTGGGAATAGACTTAAGAGGCAGGAAAACTGAGGAACGCTGAATACTGGCTATAGGAAGCGGATGGGGATGATGAGTTTGCTTAACTTCGCAGAGGACTAAAATGATGGATTGATACATATCACAATGGTGGCACTTTCTCCAGAGGGGCTTCTGTGAGGGATAGAATCAGAACTGAGGAGGCAGTTGGGAGTTAATGGGTGAACAGAGCTCAACCTTTCTACACAAGACTTCATGGGACAAAGCTAACTGCATTTTGACCACTGACAAAGTCAAACATCCAAGAGTCACCAAATTGCTCCTGCCCACTGTCCTACAGGAGTCATCTTTGGATTTCCACTCAGAAGACAAATTTTCACCCCCTGACAATTGGAAGTGTCTGAAAACAAAGACATTTCTGAGGCAGATGTTAGTGGATAGGCTGATACAGCACTGTCTGCAATGACCCATTCTTCCCAGCGCACAATGACTTTGAACTTCGTCAGGTGACTTGTTCTGACTGATGGGACATTAACAAAAGTGATATGAGCAGAGGTTTCACAAGTGCCTGTGCAGTGGGGCTTGCCCTGCTCTTGCTGATTGGAAGTTTTCACCACCATGTGAAATTAGCCTAGGCTGGTATCCCAGAGGACGAAAGAGCACGTTGAGAAACATCTCAGCTACCCCAGCTGCAGAGGCACAAATGCAGGAGTGAGTCCCCTTGGCATTGTTTGGAGCCGAGAGGCGTTTCCCAGAGGAACTCAGCCCAGATTGCTGACCTCTTGTCCTGCCTATAGCTGTGGCTTCCTGAAATATCTCCCTGCCTCACTCTCATCTCTCTATAACTGATTCTCTATACAATAGCCAGAGTAATCTTGAAAAAAATTAATGTCATTCTCCAGTCTTTTCATTCTCCAGTCTACACTCCTTCATAGCATTGCACAATAAAACTTTCTACAATAATGAGAAGATTCCACATCTGCACCGACCAATGTGAAAGACACTAGATACATGAGCACTTGATATGTGTGTGTATGTGTATGTGTGAGAGAGAGAGAATTGAAATTTAACTGAATTTACCTTAAAACTTCTTAAAACTGAGATAGGTGTATATAGATAGTGGCTGCTAAATTGGAGAGTCTTCAGTGTGCTCTCAACACATTTATAGGAAAATATAAACTCTTTTCTCCAAGCTATCAGAACCTTCTTTTCTTGGCCTCTTGATCACATCTCATGCATGGCTCCCTCACCCTCTCTGCTACAGATAAACTGGTCTCTTTACAGATCCTTAAACACACCAAACTCTTTTCTGACTCAGTAAATTGCAAAGTTCCCTCTACCTGAAATGCTATTTCTTTGTTTTTTATGGTTGACATTTCATTTTTAAGGGCCCTCATGTTCAATTTCATTTTTTTTTCAGGTGATCTCTTTTATGTTACATCTTTATAACTAAAATGGCTCAGTTTTTTAATAACATTTGTCACAATGTATAATTACAGTTTTTGTTTTGTTGTTGTTCAGTCATTAAGTCATGTTTGACACTTTACAACTCCGTGGACTGTAGTATTCTGGGCTCCTCTGTCCTCCACTACGTCCTGGAGTTTGCATAGACTCCCGTCCATTGAGTTGTTGACGTTATCTAACCACCTCATCCTCTGCCATCCCTTCTCTTTTGCCTTCAATGTTTCCGAGCATTAGGGTATTTTCCAATGAGTCTGCTCTTTGCATCAGGTGGCCAAAGTATTGGAGCCTCAGCTTCAGCATCAGTCTTTCCAATGAATAGTCAGGGTTGATTTCCTTTTTCAGGATTGACTGGTTTGATCTCCTTGTAGTGCAAGATACTCTCAAGGGTCTTCTCAACACCAAAATTCCAAACTATCAATTCTTCCAGACTGAGACACTTCTTTACTGTTCAAGTCTCACATCCACACATGACTACTGGCAAAACCAAAGCATTACCTATATTGACCTTTGTCAGCAAAGTGATACCTCTGCCTTTTAATATGCTAGGTTTGTCACAGCTTTCCTTACAAGGAGCAAGGGTCTTTTAATTCCATGGCTGCAATAACCTCCACAGTGACTTTTGGAAGCCAAGGAAAGAAAATTTGCCACTGCTTCCACTTTCCCCCCTTCTATTTGCCATGAAGTGATGGAACTGCATGCCATGATATTAGTTTTTGAAATGTTGCATTTCAACCAACTTTTTCATTCTCCTCTTTCACCTTCATCAAGAGGCTCTTTAATTCTTCTTCACTTTCTGCCACTGGAATGGTATCATCTGCATACTGAGGTTGTTGATATTTCTCTCGGCAATCTTGATTACAGCTTGTAATTCATCTAGTCCAGCATTCACATAATGTACTCTGTATATATTAATAAGTGAAAGAAGTAGGGTAACAGTATACAGACTTGAAATACTCCATTCTCATTTTTGAACCAGTCAATTGTTCCATGTCCAGTTCAAACTGTAGCTTCTTGACCCACACACAGGCTTCTCAGGAGACAGGTAAGGTGGTCTGCTACTCCCATCTCTTTAAGAAATTACTACATTTTGTTGTGATCCACACAGTCAAAGAATTTAGCATAGTCAATGAAGCAGAAGTACGTGTTTTTCTGGAACACCCTTGCCTTCCCTATGATCTAATGAATGGTCTCAATTTGATCTCTGGTATCTCTGCCTCTTGGAAACCCAAATTGTCCATCTGGAAGATCTTGGTTGACATACTGCTGAAGCCTAGCTTGAAGGATTTTGAGCATAACCTTGTTAGCACATGAAATGAATGCAATTGTACAGTAGTTTGAACATCCTTTGGCATTGCCTTTTGGGATTGGAATGAAAATTGACCTTTTCCAGTCCCGTGGCCACTGCTGTGCAGTGTTGCTATGCTTAGACTCTCAGTCGTGTCTACTTTTTACCACCTCAGTAACCTGCCAGGCTCCTCTGCCCACTGAATTCTCCAGGCAGGAATACGGGAGTGGGTTGCCATGCCCTTCTCCAGGGGATTTTCCAACCCTGGGATCAAACCCAGGTCTCCCACATTGCAGGTAGATTCTTTACCAGCTGAGCCACAAGGAAGCCTGAGAATACTGGAGTGGGTAGCCTATCCCTTCTCCAGGGCACTTTTCTAACCCAGGAATCAAACTGGGGTCTCCTGCACCGCAGGCAGATTCTTTACCAGCTGGGTGGCCACTGCTGAGTTTTCCAAATTTGCTGACTTATTGAGTGCAGCACTTTAACAGCATCATCTTTTAGGATTTTAAATAGCTCAGATGGAATTTCATCACCTCCACTACCTTTGTTTGTAGTAATGTCTTCTTGACTTCATACTCTAGGATGTCCAGCTCAGGAAGAGAGAGCACACCATTATGGTTTTCTGGGTCATTAAGACTTTAATTGTACAGTTTTTCTGTTTATTCTTGCCACCTCTTCTTAATCTCTCCTGTGTCTTTAGGTCCTTGCTGTTTCTGTCCTTTATTATACACATCCCTGCATGAAAATTTCCCTTGATATCTCCACTTTTCTTGAAGAGGTTTTTAGTCTTTCCCATTCTATTGTTTCCCCCTATTTCTTTTCTTGTTCATTTAAGAAGCCCTTCTTATCTTTCCTTAATATTCTCTGCAACTCTGCATTCATTTTGGTATATCTATTCCTCTCTCCCTTGTTTTTTGCTTTTATTCTTTCCTCAGGTATTTGTAAAGCCTCCTCAGACAACCACTTTGCCCTTGTGCATTTCTTTTTCTTGGGGATGGTTTTGGGCACTGACACCTGTACAGTGTTACAAACTTCTGTCCACAGTTCTTCAGGCACTCTGTCTACCAGATCTAATCCCTTGAATCTATTTGTCACCTCCATTGTAAAATCATAAGGGATTTTATATAGGTCATATCTGAATGGCCTAGTGGTTTTCCCTACTTTCTTTGATTTAAGCCTGAATTTTGCAATAAGCAGTTTATGATCTGAGCCACAGTTAGCTCCAAGATCTTGTTTTTACTGTATAGAGATTCTCCACTTTTGGCTGCAAAGAACATAGTCAATCTGATTTTGATATTGACCATCTGATGATGTCCATTTGTAGAGTCATCTCTAGTGTTGTTGGCAAAGGGTATATTCTATGATCAACCTGTTCTCTTGACAAAACTCTGTTAGTCTTTGCCCTGCTTTATTTTGTACCCCAAGGTCAAACTTGCATGTTAATCTGGGTATCTCTTGACTTCCTGCTTTTGCATTCCAATCCCTTATTATGAAAACGACACCTTTTTTGAGTGTTAGTTCTAGAAGTTGTTGTAGGTCTTTATAGAACTGGTCAACTTCAGCTCGGCATCAGTTGTTGGAGTATAGATATGGATTACTGTGATGTTGAATGGTTTGCTTGAAAAAAAAAACCAAGATCATTCTGTTGTTTTTGAGATTGCACCCAAGTACTGCATTTTAGACTCTCTTACTGGGCTTCCATGGTAGCTCAGTTGGTAAAGAATCTGCCTGCAGTGAAGGAGACCCTGATTTGAACCCTGGGTTGGGAAGATTGCCTGGAGAAGGGATAGGCTACCCACTCCAATATTCT